TACTTGGACACACACCGCCGAATTAATGTGCTTAGTGTGGCCGCATACATTTCGACTTTATACAATCTGTTTCCCAAATTCGAATTATATAAATTCGGATTAATCCCGTAGTGTAGACATACCCTGTGAGGGAAAGGGTGGGAAGTGCAAAGGAGAACTTGAAAGAGGCCTGCTCGTCAGCCCATCAGAATCACCAGCTGGCAGATCCCTCCATTTGCACACCGAAGGGGCATTGCATCTCAAAGAGTTTGGAGCTGAGAGGAGGGTGCAGATGTGGACACATTGAAATGGAATGGGCCACAGGGCATGGATCACTTGTTAACTCCCCTGTTCTGTTCATTTCCTCTGGGGCACCTGGCATTGGCCACTGTTGGAAGACAGGATCCTGGGCTAGATGGACATTTGGTCTGACCCAGTGTGGCCGTTCTTGTGTTCTTAAACTGCATGGGAAGCTCAGAAGAAGTTGGGAGCAACGTTGGGCTGCGTGTCCTGATTAAGGTTCAAGGTCTTCAGAGTTGATCCATTGCTCATACTGCAGCTGGAATTCTTGGGACTTGAAGTGTGAATCTGGGAAGTTTCTGGAAGGACTCAGGGTTCAGACACCTTGGTTCTGAACTCTGTAACCACAACTGATTATTGATTCCAGCCATGGTCTCCCAGTAAATGTAGGGCAGGTTGAAGGGGTAGCCTACTGGGGGGGACATTGTCCTTTGTAGAGCTAGAAGAACATCTTAACCCCCCCTTCCCCAAGCCTTTTGAAGGCCTGTGAGTTTGGCTCCTTGTCCAGGGCACCCGTATTTTATGCCCTGCTTCTGCTTTCCGGAAGTTGACCTGCAAAGAATCCGGGGGCTTGCTGGTGAAGGAGTAAGAGGCAGGAATGTCATAAACAAGGGTGCTAGGGTTAGGGGTTCCTGCACATGCTGACTTATCTCTCTTTGTCCTTCCAGAGCTCCAACTGCCTGAGCCCCGCGCATGTTAGTGAGTGTGCCCAGTGAGACAGGGCAGCATTACCCCATTTTATAGACTGATCGAGTCACCCCATAACCTTCTCTCCTGCCTTTAGCAGCGCCTACTCTCCCATCTTAGGAGCTGTGCAGGAGGGATGGAGTGGAAGGGTTTGTGGTCTGGACTGAGTCTCAGGAGCTCTTGGTTCATGTCCTAGACTTCCTTGGCCGCACACACGTGGGAGAGTGAGAGAGACAGAGCAGCTGGGCTGAGGGATTCCAGGGTTAGTAAAACCCATCGTTGAAATCCTTTACTTTAAAAATCTCCCTCCATGACAGTGCCAGGCATTGTAGCAGAACGCGGGCTGTGGGGCAGAGCCCAACCACTCCACTCCCCACAAGTTGACAGCAACTCCAGTACCAGCCTCTCCTAGAAGAAGTGACCTTAGGGAATAGTGAAAGAGTCTTGGTGTAGAGGAGTTCCCATCTACTCCAGCCCCAGTGCCATCTTCCCAATGCTTGGAGCTGACACCCTCCGTCTCTGACTCTGGTTTCTTTTGCAGCTTGATCCAGACAACACCGGTTTCATTGGCGTAGAGACCTTCGCCAGCCTGGTGCACAGCCATGAGCTGCCCCTGGATCCTTCCAAGCTGGAGATGCTGGTGGCTCTGGCCCAGAGCAACGATGAAGGGCAGATCTGCTATCAGGAGCTGGTAGACCTGGTCAGTAACGTGAGTACTAGTAACAGCCCCGCGGTGCTGCGCAAGCCCCATAGATCTGCGTGCTGCTGGGAAATGCTTTGCCCAGGAAACGCTGCAGCTGAAACAACTCACCTGGCAGTTCCAATCCTGCAGCCCCCAAGAGGGCAGGCTCAGGATGGCAACTGAAGGACAGATGGGCAATCCTCATGTGCATGAACCTGCCACTCTAAGGCAGGAGTTTTAGGGAGGGGAAGTGCAAAACCCAGCCCTCCGTTTAGTTCAGTGTTAGAGACCATGGGGCAAATTCATCCCTGGTGTAAGCGATTCCCAGCTCCTGCTGATGTCAGCGTCCTCTGCCCCTGCTTACGCCAGGCTTGAACGTGGCCCTGAGACTCAAAGGGGTGGCTCCCAGGCAGTAACCACTCTCCCAGAGCGCCCGCAGCACAGAAAGGAATGAAGCCCATTCGGTGGGATCCCTCAGGCCGGCACAGTGCCCATTGTGGGCAGCTGGGCTAGGGGTGCTGGAGAAGGAACTCCAAGTCTGTACTCCCTGCTGGCTGTTGGCTGACCTGTGTTAAATGAGTTGGGGAGCTCTCAGTTCAGCTCCCGGGGGACAAGAGGCTGTTCCACACAAACCAGCATTGCCGAGCAGGGAGGCCCAGCGTGGCATGGGCCACAGAAGCAGAGCCGCTCCCTCCCTGAGCTGAGACGTGGTGGGGGTGGTTTGTGTTGCTGACTGCTGTTCTCGGGAGGCCTCCCCAGGGCTGGCCATGTGGTGCCAGCAGTGGGCGAGGGGAAAGGACAGTTGTGAGCAAAAGGAGGGGAAATCATGTGACTCCCCCATGGAGAGCCACCTTTATCACTGGCTGCTCCTACAGCTCCTTCTCCAGGGTGAAGGCGGGACAGCTCACAGCTAGGGGCTCTCGCTCACCTAGGGCTGCTGCCCCATTCTGTTCTAGTGGCTGCAGCTGGGAAGGTAGGGCTTTGTCTGGAGTGGGCACTCTGACCTAAGTTGCCGGTTCAGGACCCATGTGAGAAGCTCCAAGGGGGAAGCAATCAGGGAGGTGGAAAATAAAAAATATTTCCCCCCTTTATTGCTGAGCTCTTGACTAAAGCAAAAAGAAGAACAGGAATACTTGTGGCACCTTAGAGACTAACAAATTTATTAGAGCATGCTCGGGGGTCGCATAACTGCTCTAATAAATTTGTTAGTCTCTAAGGTGCCACAAGTACTCCTGTTCTTCTTTTTGCGGATACAGACTAACACGGCTGCTACTCTGAAACTTGACTAAAGCAGGCGGCACTGCTGGCTATGCAGAAAGAAATCCTTAATTCTCCATAGATTATTCCTGATTGCCTTGGCTGAGTGAGGAAACGATCTGGCAAGAGAGAGACATTTGCATGCTGTCCCTGTCCCCGCTGTGTGCTCAGAATCCCAAACCCGCCCCGGCCCTGGCAAAAGCCCTTCCTCCCCCTCTCCTCAGCTGAGGATGGAGAAGGCCTGGGTGCTTTGATAATTGCAGGAACTGGAAGGAATGGGACAGGGAATCCCTGCCCTGGGCTGACCCCTGCTGGCAGAGGCTGGGAGTGGAGTAGCTGGGCGGGCTGCGTACCTCACGGTCTCTCTTTGCAGATTAGCAGTAAACGTTCCAGTAGCTTCAAACGAGCCATTGCCAATGGGCAGAGGGCACTGCCCCGGGACGTGCTGCTGGACGAGACTGGCCTGGGCTTTTACAAGCGCTTTGTCCGCTATGTGGCCTATGAGATCCTGCCCTGCGAGATGGACCGGCGCTGGTACTTCTATCAGCACCGCACCTGCCCTCCGCCCATTTTCATGGCAGCCGTCACGCTGACCCAGGTACGCTGACTGCTCCTGGGGACCGCGCTGTCCTGCCCTTGTATCTGCCATGGGAGAGGGGGTCGTCCTACCAGCCAGTCACTGGGGGGAGGAGGGGGAGGCTCCTCGGCACCTGCATGTGATTCGATGAAACAGTCCATACTGGGCATCTTCCTGGGGGATGCTGAGCTCCAAAGCCAGGGCAGGAGGAGGATGTCACAGAGTCACCCAGCCTGGCAGCAGGCGGGGGTATCACAGGCTCAGCTCGGCCTAGGGGAATTCCTTCTGGTTATAACTGACAACTAGCCCCTTTCCTTCTGCAGATCATCGTGTTCCTCTGCTACGGGGCCCGGCTGAACCGATGGGTCCTGCAGACCTACCATCCAGAGTACATGAAGAGCCCGCTGGTGTACCACCCGGGGCACCGAGCCCGCGCCTGGAGATTCTTCACCTACATGTTCATGCACGTTGGGTAAGGACATACCACTCCCCATGCCCCCTGGGGGTAGGCAGCTCAGCTGGTGTGGTGAGACTGCGTTCCTGTCTCAGTGCAGCAGGTGCGGTGGTGGGGACTGTCACTGAGGCAGGGTGAGGCAGCCCAGGGCTGGATGAACTTGGGATATGAATTCCTATCTCCTCCCCAGAGATCACAGAGCCTGCAGATCATGGCTAAGGTACAGGTGTGGGCGACAGCTTGCCCTCTGGCTCTGAACTGCGGACTAGAACGCTTTATTTATCTCCCGGGGCACTGGATGGCTCATGGGAACCGGTCACCTCTAGGCTGCCTGCTTGTCTCCAGCCCAGATCAGGAGTGGCTGAAAGGTCTTTCCACCCGATGGACCTTCTGTTGGCCTGTGTGGAGTGAGGTGGTGGGTCTCAGTGCGTTCCTAGGGCACAACAGCCCCCAGTGCCACACTGGCAGGGGCGGCTCTATGTATTTTGCCTCCCCAAGCACGGCAGTCAGGCGGCTTTCGGCGGCGTGTCTGTGGGAGGTCTGCTGGTAACGCGGATTCGGCGGCATGCCTGAGGGAGGTCCGCTGGTCCCTCGCCTTTGGCATACCTGCCACCAAATTGGCGCGGGACCGGCGGACCTCCCTCAGGCATGCTGCCGAAGGCAGCCTGACTGCCACCCTCACAGCGACCGGCACGCCGCCCCCTGCGGCTTGCCACCCCAGGCACACGCTTGCTGCACTGGTGCCTGGAGCTGTCCCTGCACACTGGCAGTGTCAGAAGAGAGGCCAAGGGCTGAGTGGCCTTTGAGGCTGGCCTATCCTCTCCCCTGTAGGTGTGGTCCGTCCAGGTCAGGGCTCAGGCACCGCTGAGGGTCTGTTTACACTGTCTACACGACAGCTGGGGAGACGCTCGTGCTAGCTCTGCTTCAGTAGGACACTAAAAATAGCACGGTGGACATTGTGGTACAGGCGGCGGTCTGGGCTGGCCACCCAACCCCCTGGGCTCATGCTGGAGCCTCCCCCATACCACGACACCCGCGCTGTTAGAGGCCTTGCTCAAGCGGAGTTAGCACCTGTCTGTCTCTACCCCCGCTGGGAGGGAGGCAGGCTCCCAGCTGCAGCGTAGACATCCCCTAAGAGGGCACTGGGGGCGGGGGGTACCTTGTATTGCAGCTACTAGCGCAGTGCCCTGCTTTTTGGGTAATAAAGGACATCAGACTCCAGGAGGGGTTTTTGAGCTGGATGAATAGTGAGACAGTTACATTCTGGGGACTAGAATTTAGCCTCAATTGGATTTGCAGCCCTTCTTTGTTATTAATTATGATCATTATAATTACTCTTTGTATGATCGTAGCATCTAGAACCCCCTTGTCACAGGACCCCATGGTGTAGGGTGACCAGATGTCCCGATTTTATAGGGACAGTCCCGATATTTGGGTCTTTTTCTTATATAGGCTCTTATTACCCCCCACCCCTGTCCTGATTTTTCACACTTGCTGTCTGGTCACCCTACCATGGTGCTAGGCGCTGCACAGACAGAACAAAAAGTCAGTCAGCTTGCAATCTAAGTAGAAGACAAGGTACGCCAGACAGATATGGACAGAGAAATGGGGGTGGAACAGTGAGACAAAACTAGTTCACCATGGTAGGCAGTGATCTCAGTCCACCTGCAGCCCAACCATTGTCCAGTTTTTTGTAGGCCTCATGCCAAGGGAGAGTTGGAAGGAGCGGTTCGAAGGAGGACAATGACGTGGCTTTGCATCTGTGCACAGGGAGCTTCTCCCAAGTGCGAGGGGAGAAAGCACAAAAGTGCTCATTTGAAAATGTAACACGTGGGCGATGGAGGCTGGGTTCTTGGGCCAAGCGGGGGTGGGAGTCAACCTTTTGATGCAGAATGAGAGAGGACAGGTCGGGTGGGGCTAGGACATGAAGGATCTAGAAAGTGAAGACAAGAAACATATGTTGGAGGCGATAGAGAAGGTGGAACCAGTGGAGGGACGCAGAGAGGGGGTGGAAGGGTCAAAGCAATGGGCTAGGAGAATGATCTGATTTGCTGTTTGCCCCTAGACAGGCAGTTTGGTTTGGTCGAATTTCACGGAAAGCAAATTTGGGCCAGTAGCCAAGACTTGACTCAACACATTTGTCTTGCGATGAAGTGACATTCCTTATGGGCAGAGACCGATAATAAAGGGGAGGTCATCCAATCAGGAAGCAAAAGCAATACCAGGTGACTTCAGTGACCAAAGAGCGAGGAAGGATACAGTTGTGGATAAGACTTGGAGTCAGAAGACCTGGGTTCTAGTCCTGGCTCTACTATTTTCTCACTGTGTGACCTTGGGGCAAATTGCTCAGTGTGTCGCTCTGTGCCTCAGTTTCCCCACCTGTAAAAGAGGGCGCATCACAGTTGTGAGGCTTAATTCATTAACACTTGTAAGCACATCAGCTGGGATGGAAATGAGCCCCACTGAAAAGCCTATAAATACACAGAGTTTTGACATCAAATGGTTGCTGGGACAGTGGGTGAGCAGCCCACCATCCGAAATTCATTTGCACACAACGCTGATCAAACCATATTGAAGAGGGTCAGATTTGTGGAGCAGACAGTTCCCCCACAGGAGAAAGGGCTGAAGTCACTGGTGGCCCAGCATTACTGACAGTCCAGGCCCTTCCATCTCTACCAACCCTTCCCTGGTACTATAGCAGCCCAGCCTGCTCCCCACCTCCAAGCTGCCAGGATTTGTGAAAGAAAAGCTGGGCCCTGGCAGCTGAATCCTGGCACCAAGAGTGAATCCCAGTGGTGCTCACTTCCCAGTCTGTCATCTGGGAAATCGCTGCGATGTCATAAATTCAGCGTTATGATGGCGCTGCGGGAAGCAGGATAAGGGGGGCTCTGGTGGGGCGGGAAACACCTTGTACATTCTGGAGGAATTTGCACGCTGGCCAAGCAGTGTCACGAGAGATGAGAGGTGGAAGGTGACGGGGTAGGGCTGGAAAGCTTCTCCGCAGGACTGAAATTCCTCTTGACCTACTTGGAGGTGCTCTCTTGTGCCTGGCTCCCCTTTGTGCCTGCCCAGAATCGGGGCATGTCGAGCGTGAGCTCAGATGCATTACCCATTTTTAAATGTATTTCATGCCAAAGTTGCTGGGTTTCTCTTCCTTTTCCCCCTTCTCCATCTGTGTCAGGGCACAAGCATTCACCTCAAATGCCTGGGGAACGAAGCAAGTGACCAGTGGCTCAGAATAGGCCGGACCCCATGGGCCCTCCCCATGCATCTTGTATGAGAACGGCTCCAGACCCACACACGCACTGGTGCTCAAAGGCAGAATAAGGGGGAAGAGGGATCACACAAAGGGGCCATCGACCAGCAATGGCCACGAATAGCAGCAGCAAAGCAGGCTGTTCAGTTACGCGGCTTCGTGTCTCAGCGCAGGAGAGACATGGCTTCGACCCCTTCCCAAGCTAGTGTCTGAGGGGAACGATAGCCATCTCCAGCCCCCATAGATGCTCTCAGCACAGAGGCCACGGGTTTGTGGGACTCACCAGCGCGGTAACAGCACAGAATGTCAATTAGGGACGATACAAATAATTATCATTGAAAGGGACAACAAAGCCCGTTCCCCTGATTGGTGGGATTAGCTGCAGTTGACACTTATCATGGCCTCTTGATTGGTGGGATTAACAACAGACCACCCTCTGATTGGAGGTGGTTTGGTGAAATATTGCCCATTTGGCACTGGGGCGGTGTTGCCTTGAAATAGATCCCCGATGCCAATGTCAATGGGACCCTCGAGGCTGCCTGACATTTCAGGGCTCGGCCAGGACTCATTGCAGTGTACCCAGGGCATTCCCGAGAATAGGCCCCTTGGCAGGAGGCTGCAGCCGGGTCTTCCTATCCCAGACCTTCCACCCTTGGCCCCCGGAGGTCTCAGCTTAGTGGGTGAATGTGGCCACTGGCTCCCAAGGCTCCAAGTGAAAACAAATTCATCTGGAAGTGGTGTTTACACAAGCAGTAACGCTGCAATGGGATGGGCTGGCTCAGGGGACGGGTCCTGGAAGAGGGAGCTTTTTGGTCTCTGTTTCCAATCCTGCCCAGGTTAGGTGGACTCAGTTCAGTGCCCTCCTGGGTGGATATCCACAGGTGTGGCTGAGAGCAGCCATCAGAGTGAGGCTGGCAGGAGAGGGGTCTGGGCTACACAAGGGAGCATGGGAGGCAGGAGGTTCTATTTGCGACTAGCCTAGTCTGTGCCCTGGGGCAAGTCACTGCCCCTCTGTGTTTCGGCTCCTGCTCAGTAAAACGGGTGCTGGAAGGACTCATTGGTGTGTATAAAGTGCTGAGAGACGAGGTGCTGCAGATGTGCAGAGCTGGGCCATGAAGAGCAGCCTTCCCTCCCCTCCGCACAGAGGCCCTCCCTGCTCAGGGATGGGCACACTGGCTGGGCTGGGGAGGAGGCTCTTGAGAGGCAGTGGGTAACCACCTCCCACTGAAGCCAGTGAGAATTTAAGGTGCTCACCAGCATCTCCCAAGGTTGGGCCTAGTTGCTCTGTGCTGAGGCCAGCACGGGATCCTAAAGCCCTCAGAAGGGAAGGGTTGGGCCAGAGTCTCAGTTTGCATTGTTATTCCCAGAAACTCCCTGATCCATCCTGGGCCCTGGGTTTAACCTGCTGCCTTCCTGCACAGGGCACTGTGTACGGTCCCACCCCTGCCCTGTGTGCGCAGCTGGCCGGGGCCCTCAGCTTGCCGTACTGAGTTGCTGCTGGATGAACGTGTTTCCTTGTCTCTCTGTCTAGGTTGGAACAGCTGGGATTCAATGCCCTCCTTCAGCTGATGATTGGGGTCCCCCTGGAGATGGTCCATGGCATCTTACGCATCAGCTTCCTCTACCTGGCAGGGGTGCTGGCAGGTGGGTGGGGAGCGCCTGGCTGGAGGCTGCCTCCTGCAGGTATTCCCTTCTCCTGCACTGGCAGTGAAGGCTCATTCCAGACCCACTCCCGCTGCCAGCCCGGCTGTTAGCTCCCCCCTATTCCCACAGTGACTGATCCCCCTACAACCGAGTCCTCAGCTGTCCTCTGGGCCCCTCCTGAGATGGCTGGAAAGGCCCAGGCATGTGCCAACGCTGTGGCAGTCAGCCTGAGAGCTCACAGCTGTCTTCTCCTGCCAGCTTCTTTTCTCCTTCCTTCCTCTCTTGGCCTTTCCTTTCCTTTCCTTTCCTTCTCTCTCTCTCTCTCTCTCTCTCTCTCTCTCTCTCTCTCTCTCTCTCTCTCTC